ATTTGAGCTCTTTGTGGGCTCAGAAATAGAGGAAACTGCATTTCCTTTTGGTGAACGCCTTTGTGTTATTTTATTTTTTCAGCATGATGCTGAAACTAGCCCATTAAGGGAGAGTCAAAGGAATCTCGTATACTTTCCCCTGAGCTGGGCTCGGTTCCTGATTATTCTCATAGGAAGAATCCAAAACTTCCCACGGAGTTCCCCTCCTCTGCCCTGAGTCACATACCTATGGCCTCGAGTTAACAGATCTTTTTTAATCAAAGAGAAGATGAAAAAGGCACCTTGCTTCTGGCCCATTTTTAGACCTTTTTTAGCCCCATTTCTTCTCTTTCCTTCCTACATTTGTTTTGTTTGGTTTCAAGCCTGAATTAAGCATGACAGGAGGAGCAAGTTTTATATGTTGCCTGAAATCATCATTGTCAGAGAAACAAAATGCAATCTTAAGGGAGACCAACAACGGTGGAAAGAAGCCGCTTGGGTTGCAGGCACACATAGTTCCAGAGCTTTTTGCATTGAGTAGCTGTGGGGTCCAAGGCCCCATATCTCTGGGCCTCACTTTCTCATTAGCAAATAGAGGCTTTAGGTTGTAATAGGTTGTGTTGAACTATGGATGTATATGCAACAAGCCTGCACCTTATTCAAATGTAGATTCTGATCCTTAGGTACTGGGTGAGGACTGAGATCCTGAACCTCTAATAAGCTCCCAGATGACAAGCATCCAAGTATCACACATTTCCTAGCTCTGGATCACACTTTTCCTAGCTCCTAGCAGAATCTCAGGCTCATCCCAGCCTCTTGAGCCAGAATTCACATTTTCACAAGAGCCCGATTCATTCAGATGCGCATGAGAATGTAGGTAGTCAGCCTGGATCACTGAGGGAGGTCCCAGCTGTGCCTGGGGAGCCTTGAAACTGCCAAGGCAAAAGCCTGTCCTGGAGACCCCACTGAGTTGATGGGGAGTGTCCTGATGTGGATTCCTGCCTATTCACAGCAGCAAGGTCCCTGAGGGCCGGTGGTTTTGATCTTGCTCCCTATTAACATCGCCTGGGGAGCTGTGAAAGGCCCCACCCTCCGTGATGTTAATAGGCAGCAAGACTGGGGGCCACTGGACTCAAAGTCCGCGGGTTCTAATCCATGATGTCCTTGGTTTTATCAGGGCGATTTTTTTGGCCATATGAGGCAAGACAGGTGCCTGTGCATCTCAGGAGTATCTGTGGAACGCTGCTTCTGAACTGCCCAGCACGCTCAAAACAGGACCTGGTTTATAGCAAAGGGCCAGCCCCTGGCAGCATCATGAAACACACACGCACTGTCCTCTACCCAGGGTTCCCTTCAGCCCATAGGGGACCGATGGCCCTTCCTCTGCACTCCAGCCTGATATCAGGAAGCCCACGGATGAGAGAAAATCTCATGTTACCTGTTACAGGAGAGCGAACATTTAAGTCAATGGGTGGCCCTCTGCTGGAAAGCCACCTCTCAACTGTAGAATTTAAGAGGGCAGAGTGCGAAGCCAGTGGGCTCTGGAGTCCTGCCAGATTTGAGTCACAACTTGGCCACTTATGAGTCCCTGTCATCAACCCACAAGAGCCAACGTCCTGATGCCTGAAACCCAGCATCTGGCTTAGGGAGGACGGGTGGAGTGAATTGCTGAGGATGGCCCTCCGCGGTTTCTGCTTCCTTCACTTACCCATCACTGCCTTAGAAGCTGACCTGGGCAGGCATCCTGGCACGCAGGCTAGGATTGCTTCCGCCAATTTTCTGCGAGAGAAGCAAGGGTTCGGTTGATTCCTGGCAGCACGTCCGTGGGGAATGCACGTGGGGACGTGGGTGGGGTGGGGGCAGGGCTGGACTTGGGAGATGCTGCAGCTGATAGCACACTTTTCCTTTGAGGAATTTTCTTCCTACTGTTATAACACCTGTCTCCAAACAAAACCATTGGTCAAAAGCAAAATCACTCATTTATTCTGTGCATAGACCTGTGGCATGAGATGCATTTGGGAGGCTTGAGAACAGCGGTTCCCAACCTGGATGCCTGGAGGAATGTCTGAGGACATTTTTCGTTGTCACCACTGGGGCAGGAGCTGCTGCTGGTATCTGGCTGGTGGGGTCCAGGGACGCTGCCAAACACTCTGCAGGTCAGAGGCTAGCGCCACCACAGAGAATGATCCGGTGTAAAAGGCCACTGGTGCTGAGAATCCTCCTCCAGACCCAGGGCAAGACTGATGGGATGTGTTTGTTTGTATCTGCTCTTGTGGCCATTCAGACAAGAAATGAGCACCTTGAATGACTATCAAATCAAGACAGGCCGGGTGCAGTGGCTCACACCTGTAATCCCAGCACTTTGGGAGGCTGAGGTGGGCAGATCACTTGAAGTCAGGAGTTCGAGACCAGCCTGGCCAACATGGCAAAACATCCTCTCTATTAAAAATACACAAATTAGCTGGGGCACACTTGTGATCCCAGCTAATTGGAAGGCTGAGGCACAAGAATCGCTTGAACCTGGGAGGCAGAGGTTGCAGTGGGCAGAGACTGCACTGTTGTACCCCAGGGTGACAGAGCGAGACCACCTCAAAAAAAAAAAAAATCCGGGCGCGGTGGCTCAAGCCTGTAATCCCAGCACTGTGGGAGGCCGAGGCGGGTGGATCACGAGGTCAAGAGATCGAGACCATCCTGGTCAACATGGTGAAACCCCGTCTCTACTAAAACTACAAAAAATTAGCTGGGCATGGTGGCGCGTGCCTGTAATCCCAGCGACTCAGGAGGCTGGGGCAGGAGAATTGCCTGAACCCGGGAGGCG